CCTTGTAAAATGTAATCTAATATTTATAAAAGATTAAATATAACATAATAATTTTATTTTAAAATTTTAAATTTTCAAGCAATTTTTTATTTTTAGTAAAGAATATAGGAACAAAAAATAAGAAAGGATGATCAAATATATTTTGATTTTTCAATAAAAACATGAAATAAAAAATAATTATCAAACAAAATTTTACCTTTTACATAAAATAAAAGTGAAAAATGAAAAAAAAAAAGGAGAAAAACATTATCAACATCTGATGTCCGACGGTTGTGGCATCTTCCCTTGGAAGACGTGATCAATCTGCAGCCATCTTTTTTGGACAGTAATTGACATTTCAATTCTATCTATGTTATTATTATTATTATTATTATTTTGAAGAAAATCTCTATGTTATTTAAATTTTTAATAAAATAATAATTATCTTTATCTTTATTTTTATTTCTTAATTTGAAGAACTTCCCATAGCTAGGTTTTCTCCATACCACAACAATAGATCAAACTAAAAATTTTGGTCCCATGTGAGATACTAGAGCCCATAAATTGTTTACCATTCAATTATATATTTAAATAAAGCAGCTACTTTTTATACAGACACTTTTAGGGATTTACAATGTAATTAGTATAATTTCTTCTCGGGGTGATTTCAGATAATGTCAACTCGAGCATAGTCCAATTGGCTAAAACATCTAAGTTCAATTAGAAGATCGTGAGTTCCAATCCTCATCCAATATGTTGTACTAAAAAAATGTGTTTATTTTTATTGATTTGACCAGTTACTTTAATTTAATAATAACGCCGATAGATTTGACGGGACRAAGGGAAGAGGGTAGATGATGAAGAAGAGGAAAGAGAGACGTGGATCATCCCACAAAAACAAAAAAAAATTGCAATCACCACTACTACAACATCATTTTTCTGTTAGTTAACTAACAGTCAGTCGAATGAACTTATACATCATTTAGAACAATTTTCTAAATTTCAGTAACTAAACCGTCCATTTTAAGATTTAGAGACAAAATAAACACTAAATTCAAACTTSAAGACCAAAAGTTTATTTTACCCAACATTCTTTAAAATTTTGTTAACTTGATTTGACCTTTTTTTTTTTTTGTTGTTGTTCGTGGCCTCTCCTTTACGACACATTAGGACGAGTCCAATCACCGATAACCTACGAAAAAGAAAAATTACATACAAAAGAGACAACCTTAAAGATTTCTAAATGTGTACAAAATCATTATCACCACCAAGTATACTAGTGTGATATGTTCTCAAATAATGTATTCAATTCAAGGTCCCATAAAAAAAAAAAAACCAACACAACTAACACATATAAAAATAAAAGAACAATATCTTAACTCAAAAAAAAAAAAAAGTAAGATTCTAAACTTTAGAGTTAAATAATAACAGTGTCTCGATCGTACATCAACAAATATTGTAATGAAAAATATTGTCTATATATCAATTAATAAGACTGAGAGTTTCAACTACTTTTTTTTATGTGTTTTATGTCAGTTGTCTATTTTTATAACATTTAATAGATTAATGGATCTCACTGATGTTTTTTTAATAATTGAGAAATGAACCATATCAATGAATAAATAAGAGTCCTATTGACTTGATCAATGCGTAGGTAAATGTTGTTTAGGCATAATTCACCGAGAAAAATCGATAAATGTGGTTAATATGAATATAAAATTGCCAGTCAAGTTGAAATTTCATCTCCGGAAAAATGTTGAAGTCTTAATTTTATGAACATTTATAAAGAAATACCAAAAAAGAAAAAAAAATCACAAAAGCCTAASAAACTTATAAAAATTTTATATTTCTTAAAAGAACTATAAATCATATTAGGTTAATTTATTCTATGTTTATTTTAAAAATTAAATTAAAAATTTAGTTGGTTAACTTTGTTGATTAAAATTTAAAAAGATATAATAGATTAGAGATGTTAAGCACAACAWTAAGAGTTCAAACACCTATTAAGTATTTTTTAACCTAATCAGATACAACACAGTTTTTAAAGTTAACCATTTTATTTTTGAGTTCTAAAGGTTGAAACACTTAAAATTTGTAATTTATAATATTTAAAAAGAGTAGATAGAACCCACAATTAAAGGCTTGAAGCATCTGAACACTTAAACAAGTTGTAATTCATAATATTTAAAAGAGTTGATAGAATCCACAATTATCTAAGGGTAGAAGATACACCTAGCGAATTAAATATCCATCAAACTGTCAATATTTATATCGACATTTCTGTGTATTTATAGATTCGACATCAAAATAAGTGATAAATCAACATTTCTATAGTATTAAAAAAAATATCAACAAATTATCATATTACTGTTAAAATACTATTTTGGTCCATGTACTTTCAGCTATAGTTCTTTTAGTCCCCATACTTTGAAAGTATTCATTTAGGTCAATGTACTTTAAACTTTAATTTATTTTAGTCAATGTACTTTGAAAATATTCATTTTGGTCCATTTATTTTTTAAAAGGAAATTTTAAGAAATATATTGATTTTTGTGTAGTGTTAAAATTGTGATAGAAAAAAATGAGATTAAAAATAGAATTAAGGGACCAAAATAATCATTTTTCAAAAGTACAGGGACTAAAATGAACAAAAATTAAAAATACATGGACCAAAACAAATATTTTAAAAGTTGACCAAAATGAATCAAATCGGATTGTACAGGGACCAAACCAGTGCTTTTAAATATTTTTCAATAACTTTTTATTTTTATAATCTTTGTACGAACATCCAATGTTAACATGATTGAGACCGAACATTTAAAACTTTAGATACATGACAAGCAAGGGAAGGTATTTTATTATTATTATTATGTTTAATTTGAAAATTGTACCAAACAAATCAAAATAAAAATTCACAGCACACGCCACACAGAGCATGCGCATTAGAAAAATAACGATAGAATTGAACGGTGTATCGATTCTTACTTGTAGTTGCAGTCGTGGGAACTCGTGCTTAAAGCCAAAGTCAAAGCTTTCTTCCACCCCCACCACCATTTCTGCTTCTGCTTCTGCCTTTCATTTCTGTAAAACCAAATGTTCTTCCATGGATCCCAACTTCTACACTCAGAGTGAACACGCCACCTCCATAACCACAACTTAGATAACATACCCTTCTTCCTCCTCCTTCTGTGCATGCACATCCCATTTACAGAGCTTCAAAGAGAGACTCAATCATGGCGGAACCTCTGCTGGACAATCAAACTGAACAACTTGAATCCAGCATCATAACACGGGCAGGTGTTTTAAGCAAACTGACATTCTCTTGGATCAACCCTTTACTCACGTTGGGTTATTCGAGGCCATTGGCTCTCGAGGATGTTCCTCCTCTTGATTCTGAGGACCAAGCAGACCTCGCTTACCACAAATTTTCCCATGTCTGGGATTCGCTCTCCACAGAAAAGGGTTCCGGGAACTTGGCTTTTCAGGCCATTAAAAGGGTGCACCTCAGAGAAAATGTTCTTATAGCCTTTTATACTCTTCTGAGAACTCTCTCTGTTGTTGTTTCTCCTCTTGTTCTGTTTGCTTTCGTGAACTATTCGACTGGTGCAAACAGGGGTTTACGGGAGGGGCTTTTGATTGTGGGGGTTTTGACTGTCTGCAAGGTGGTTGAGTCTTTGTCGCACAGGCATTGGTTCTTTGATTCTAGGAGGTCAGGGATGAGAATGAGGTCGGCTTTGATGGTGGCAGTGTATAGGAAGCTGTTGAAGCTTTCTAGTTTGGGGAGGACGAGGCACTCGGCTGGGGAGATTGTGAACTATATTGCTGTTGATGCTTATAGAATGGGGGAATTTCCATGGTGGTTTCACACAACTTGGGCCGCAGGGCTGCAGCTTGTTCTCTCCATTGCAGTGCTCTTCTGGGTTGTGGGTCTTGGAGCTCTTCTGGGTCTGATTCCTCTCCTCGTTTGTGGGCTTCTTAATGTCCCTTTTGCACAGTCTTTGCAGAAGTGTCAGTTTCGTTTCATGGTTGCTCAAGATGAGAGGTTGAGGTCCACTTCTGAGGTTCTCAACAACATGAAGATCATTAAGTTGCAATCATGGGAGGAAAAATTCCAGAACCTGATCCAGTCGCTTCGCGAAAGCGAGTTCCGGTGGTTAAGGGAGACGCAGATGCAGAAGGTCTATGGCTCTCTGTTGTATTGGATGGCTCCAACTATTGTGTCTGCTGTTGTTTTCTTGGGATGTATCGTCTTCCAGAGTGCTCCTTTGGATGCAAGCACCATTTTTACTGTTATTGCAACACTGAGAATAATGTCGGAACCTGTGAGAATGATACCAGAAGCTCTTGCAATCATGATCCAAGTCAAGGTCTCCTTTGATAGGCTCAACACATTCTTGCTTGATGATGAGCTAATAAAAGATGAAGCTATTGAAAACCCATCTAAGAATTTCGATAATATGATGGAAATACAAAACGGTAACTTCAGATGGGATCCAGAATCAGTGAATCTAACTCTGAAAGATGTAGATCTAGAAATAGTAAGAGGACAGAAAGTTGCAGTGTGTGGACCAGTTGGAGCTGGGAAATCCTCTCTTCTATATGCTATACTTGGAGAGATTCCTAAACTTACAGGAAGTGTGAGTATAAAAACCGAAGCATATTTGGCATGATAGCACAAAAACGCATCGTATTTGTTTAGAAAACTGAAGTAGTTTCCATCTTTTTTGTACTACAGGTTCAGGTTAATGGATCAATAGCTTATGTTTCACAAATTGCTTGGATTCAAAGTGGGACGATTCGAGATAACATACTCAACGGAAAGCCGATGGACAAGGATAGGTATGAGAATGCCATAAAAGCCTGTGCTTTGGATGAGGACATCAATAGTTTTAACCATGGAGATCTTACAGAAATAGGGCAGAGAGGCCTTAACATGAGTGGAGGACAGAAACAAAGGATTCAACTTGCAAGAGCTGTCTACAATGATGCTGATATTTATCTGCTTGATGACCCCTTTAGCGCAGTCGATGCACATACCGCTGCCACTCTTTTTGATGTAAGAACATGGAAAAATCTAGTTTCTTGTCTAAACCATTTAAAGTGGACAATTATTTAACTTGGAGGATGGAAATTTTGCAGGAATGTGTCATGACTGCTCTAGATAAGAAAACCGTGGTTCTTGTAACTCATCAAGTGGAATTTCTTTCTGAAGTTGATAGAATTCTGGTAAGTTAACTACCTTGAACTTCAGCTCCATGTTAAAGTTGTAGTCTTGTAAACACTTTTTCATTGACATGTCTTGCCATTTTTCAGGTGATTGAGGAAGGGACAATAACTCAATCAGGAAGTTATGAGGACCTGTTGAAAGCCGGGACGCCTTTTGAAAAGCTTGTGAATGCTCACAAAGATGCAATAATAGCATCTGGTACCTCAGAGAGTGAAAACCTGAGAGAATCTGAAACAGTAGACACGGCGAGACGTGAAAAAAACGATAATGAGGACATAAATACCAAAAATTTAGATGGAGTACAACTAACAGAAGAAGAAGAGAAGGAAATTGGGGATGTTGGCTGGAGACCGTTCTGGGATTATTTCAGTGTCTCCAAGGCATCTCTTCTTATGTATTTAAGTGTAATTACTACGTGTGGTTTCATTGCTTTTCAGACGGCTGCAACATATTGGCTAGCCATTGCCTTTGAGTTCTTCCCTCACATCAGTGATGGCATGGTAATTGGAATCTACGCGGGTATTTCACTTTTGAGTGCAGTATTTGTATATTTCAAGTCCCTTTTGACCGCTCTTTTTGGTCTAAGAGCTTCTAAAGCCTTCTTCTGTGGTTTCACAAATTCTGTCTTCAAAGCTCCCATGGCGTTTTTCGATGCAACCCCTGTAGGACGGATTCTGACCCGAGTAAGATCATTTTGACTTCATCTTCATCCATGATCTTTTTTTGCATCACCAAGCTTGTACTTATGTTGCGTTACATTCAAGCTAGCAACTTATTGCACCAAAACTGATGTTGTTACGACCACAATATCTTCAGGCTTCATCAGATTTAAGTGTTCTGGATTTCGACATACCATTTTCTGTCAACTTTGTTGTATCTGGTGCTCTGGAACTTCTTGTGGTGATTGGAGTTGTGGCTTCCGTTACGTGGGAAGTCCTCCTTGTCGCCATTCCTGCTATAATAGCTTCAACTTACGTTCAGGTATACAGAGCTTTGTACATATTTGTCCCATATCTCCAAATTATATATGGTTCTTCACCGTTAAACGGTGGAGCTAACTTCAATTCATTTGTTGACTTATATTTGGGAAGAGGTATTATCTAGCCACTGCTACCGAGCTTATTAGAATCAATGGGACAACAAAGGCACCTGTAGTGAATTACGCAGCAGAGACATCACTCGGTGCTGTCACGATCAGAGCTTTCGACATGACAGAAAGGTTCTTCCAGAGGTTCCTAAAGCTTGTCGACACAGATGCAAGTCTTCTTTTCCACTCTAATGCAACCACAGAGTGGCTGGTGTTGAGGATAGAGACACTGCAAAATTTAACACTTGTCACCGTCGCACTTCTCCTTGTATTGCTTCCCCAGGGTCAAACCACCAATCCAGGTATGACAAATTCAACAAGTACATAAGACTTCTACTGTTGTTCTTTTTCAATACCTTCTTATTGTTTAATCCATCGCGCAGGGCTTGTGGGGCTGTCTCTTTCCTATGCTTTATCCTTGTCGATTATCCACATTTTCATGGCGAGATGGTATTGTAATCTTTCAAACTACATCATTTCTGTTGAAAGGATCAAGCAATACATGCATTTGCCACCAGAACCTCCAGCAATTGTGGAGGAAAGCAGGCCACCATTTTCATGGCCTACCAAGGGAAGGATAGAGTTGGAATGTCTAAAGGTAAGGGACGGTTCAAATGTAGTAAATGCAAATAATTTGCAGCTTTTCTCAAACGTCTTAATGATACTCGAATGGCATTTCCAATGCTCAAGTTTCATGTTATTTTTTCTTTGTTTGTGCTAGATAAAATATCGTCCAAATGCTCCTCTCGTTCTCAAGGGAATTACATGCACCTTCAAAGAAGGGACTAGAGTAGGAGTTGTAGGAAGAACAGGAAGTGGAAAAACAACTCTGATAAGTGCTTTGTTTCGTTTGGTTGAGCCCGAGAGCGGGAGAATCATCATTGATGGCGTCGATATATGTTCCATTGGTCTAAAGGATTTAAGAATGAAGCTCAGCATCATCCCACAAGAGCCAACACTATTCAGGGGCAGCATTCGCACTAATTTAGACCCTCTAGACCTTTATTCTGATGATGAGATATGGAAGGTGAATCATCACTCAGCCTCATTTTCAGTCTTCAAAATGCTGTTTTGTTTTGATATTCACCTCATGACTTGGCTATTTGCAGGCATTGGAGAAGTGTCAGCTCAAGGCTATTGTCAGCAGCCTGCCAAATCGGCTCGACTCATCTGGTAAGCTCATTTCGAGCATTCATACATGTTGTTTCCTGATGTTGTTGTACTGATCTTGGTTGGTTTGAACAGTGAGTGATGAAGGAGGGAACTGGAGCGTGGGACAGCGCCAACTTTTCTGCCTCGGAAGAGTGCTACTGAAACGAAACAGAATTCTCGTTCTCGACGAGGCTACTGCGTCCATCGATTCGGCAACTGACACCATTTTACAGAGAATTATAAGGCAGGAATTCTCAGAATGCACTGTTATAACAGTAGCTCACAGAGTTCCCACAGTCATTGACAGTGACAAAGTCATGGTTCTCTCCTTTGGTAAGCTAACCACTGGCATTTCTCATTCCTTCTTCCTCTTCTGCTGAATTCCACCAGTAAATTGAAGCTTTTTATAAAAATTTTCCAACTGCAAATTCTCCTGTAGGAAATCTGGTTGAGTATGAAGAGCCTTCAAAGCTTATGGAAACCAACTCCTATTTCTCCAGACTTGTAGCTGAGTACTGGGCCAGCTGCAGGAGAGACTCTGCCCCATAATTCAAGCAATTAGTAGGTTAAGACAAATTTCTGCTGATAATTGAAGATTGAGCAGTCTGATTCTATTGTAATTTGAACTTTGATTCGTCTTAGGTCGATTTCTAACAGTAGCTACTTAAGTTAAGCGAACAATTGAGTTTTTGGGTTTCATATGGCGATTCAGATTCAGAAGGGAGAGGCATATAATTTAATCAGAGTTTCTTTTCTCCATACGGCTTTATGTAGATGTATTGAGAAACGAAATAATGGAAATGAATAAATGAGCTACCTTTTCTGTACTGGTTGTCGAATTTGAAAATCTAAGTTTACCTAAGGTCGTCAATCGATGGCGGATTGGCAGCCATTAGAAAACGTTATACGCCGATTCGGTGGAATTTGAAGTCGCTCTCAGGTTCCATGGAGGCAGAGGACTGGATTGCAATTGGAAAATTTATGAACTCGACGAACAATTAAGCTCTAAATTTCTCTCTGCCATTAGAATCGGTTGAATCAAGTGTTAGATTTGGTTTCTGTATCGATTCCCCGTTCGAAATTGTTGCGGAAGATGGAGGATTTCCCTCGCCCCCTTCACGGTCCTACCGAAACTTTTTTCTGTTACAGTGCAAATATGAGAAAGTAGAATAATGGAAAATACTAAAATAGGAAAGTTCAGAGCAAAATGAAATATGAACTAAAATTTTAAATCAATCTTTCTATGCAATGGTTAAAAAACGCATTTTCTCCCTCTCCACTTTTACTCACTAATAATTTAGTCCATAAACTTTAAACTTTAATTGGTAATGATTTAGTCTCTGAATTTTTATTAAAATAACAATTTAGTCTCTACATAATTTAGTCCTTTTAATTTAAAATTTATAATAATTTAGTCCCAACGGTAAAAAAAATATTAAAATTAAGTGTCAAATTTTATCATATAATAATTTAATATTTTGTAATTTATAAACATGTTTGGTCCCTCTTTAAATTATTACCAAAAAAATTTCACGATAAAGACTAAATCATTACCAACTTTAAATTACAATGACTAAATTATTACATGTTAAAGTTCAAGGACTAAATTGTTATCAATTTGAAAATACAAGAACTAAATCATTACAAACTAAAATTCAAGGACTAAGTTGTTATTTTAGTGAAAGTACAAGAACCAAAAGTGTTCTTTAACTAATTATAATTTTATTTAATGATATTTAGAYAGAGGAGTACACTTCTCATAAGCTTAGACGACTTGCAAATAGAGCTTTACACTGATTTATTTAAGTTAGTTCAAGATAACGTTACGTCAAGCTTAATGAGGTTGTATATAATCGCTTACTTTTGTAAGGAATGAACTATGTMTTTATAGAGGAGTTTTAGAAAACATTGTTCTATTTTTTCGACACTTCAGCAAATTTTAGGCTAGTAGTATATGTGTTTCTAGGCTCTCGTCGAGTTGGGTCCATCTCATCCTTGACTTATTCGATTTTAGGTTCGAACACGTGTTTCCACAAGTGAGAGGCCATATGACAGGGGTGAGATACACCGGCCAACACAAAAATAACAAGTAGCTATCAGAATTATATTTAAAAAAAACTTTAATTATAAATATATATATGATAACAAAGAATTGAATAGATGGAATAATATAATATAATTAGTATTGACCAGATGGAAAAGAATTAAATAATTAACATTGAATTMGTTGTGGATACTGGATAGTTCTTCACATGGATTTGACAGAGCTTTGATTATAGGATTCAATGGGAGATTTATGTCTATATATATAATATTGAATCGGAGACATTGGCATTAATGATCAAATAAAAAATAAATAAAAAAAAAAGACAAAAGACATGTGTGGGTGAGATCTAAATGCCTTCTCTAACACACATTAATTAAAATCAAATCCAAAATTACAAAAATTATTAAGCATAGAATCTTCCTCCAAATTTACACATTGGATAAAGCCTACTATTCAAGGTTCTATCTCCACCTTATATTTTTTTTAATTGAAAAAAAAATCTCTTTTTAAAATAATTTTGAAACTATAGAAATATAATATTTTTTTCAAATTTAATTTGAATTTTGTTACACGTGATATGCCGACGTCGGCCTAGGCTTCTTTATATGTTGGATTTGGTACGAGARCCTTACATGCCCAACCATGACTTCTCAATCATGGTCTTGATACTTWTAAATATCGTATTAAATTTTCGTCGATATTTTCTTCGACATTTCCATATGTATGAGTTCGACATCAACACGATGGGTAAATCAATTTAGAAAGAATGRAATACTTATTTGTTAATTTAAATAGCTTTTATGTATTTTTTTAGAAATATCTATCGACATCAAGTGGGACCTCAACATTTCTATCGATTTATACCCTGACATTTTTAAGTCTATGAATGTTGAGTTCGGATTTAAGAAATCCACGTTCAAGATCATGCAGGTCTAAAAAGTCTTAGATGTAGTGTTTTAAGTCAAACTCTCATTTCGAATATTTATTAATTATTATTATTGTATATTTCATGGTGATTATATATATGTATGCAAATCTCGAGGCGTTTGCTGAGTGGGGATTAGAATTAATTTGATGATTAAATATAGCTATGGGGGCATGGAAGTGCCCATTCATTGGATTTAATATTTTCAAACACTTCAATTAATGCACTCTCATGCATCTCCCCCAACTTTTTCCATGGGGCATCCCACTCCCATGCTCGAGGAAGATTCCTTAGGGTTATCATTTAGAGGTACCATCAAACAAAAAGATATATAAAAGTTTGAATTATGTCATTTTTAACTTTTTAGTTGTGATTCTAATAAGTGTTGTTGTTAATAGTGATGATTTGTTACAAGAAATTTTCCTTTTGGTGATGACATTTATTTTTCGTTGCTAAAAGTACCCTTTGGTGAGGAAATTGCAATTCGTCGCCAAAAGTTTTAAATGATTTGAGATATTTTATGCAAAACTTAATGTGACCCAGCTCGATTTCGTAGCCATAAAGTACTTTTGACAATAAATATTACATCTTTGCCAAAAGTTTCGAGAAATGTGTGGGAATTTCACTGTCCAAATTTTCCGCGAAAGTTAAATCGACGAAATCTAAAATTCATTGACAAAAGTTTACTGCGACGAGAATATGTCGATGAATTTGGAGACAAAGAAAGTCGTCAAAAGAATTTTACCAACGAAAATTGAGCTATGGCGAAGATTTTGTGCGTCAGTTTAACTCAAATTTCTTATAGCGATTTGACATGAGGGTGCAATAGATGATTTAGGAGAGTAAACTTATCCGGGCTAAAGAAAGACATTTGGGTCAAAAAAAAATTTTTATCTAAAATGTATTTGGCATGTTATTTACATGGGATGAAGAAGTTGCAATTTATTTCTAAGGGTCAAGGAAGTATGGTAGAATTATTCATACATACTCCCATTAGAGACATGAGAGTGAATAATGCATTCCAAATCTCTAGACCCAAAATTCAGGAAAACAAACAAGCACATGGGAGGGGGAAAATTGATTGAGTGGGAATGGACAAACTTGAAAAGGGAATTACATAGGCCAAAAATGAGTTAGTGAGATGAAAGGGTTCGCCTATCGTCCAGGCCCAACTCTTTTCTAACGCATGGCACATAGATTTGAAAAACGTGTGATGATTTAACACGACATCTGTAAGAGGTGACTAAGAAGAGTAAGCCAACAGGTTAATATAAGGGTAGATGAGCCAACAAATTTTTTGATATAAAATGTGTTTTGCTAACTCTATCTTATCAAATGTGCTGGCGTGTTCCAGTCTTATTATATATATTTGACCCAACGGATCTAAATTATTTCATGAGTTAAAAGGCAATACGATAGAACTAATTTAYACACAATTCTAGAAAAGTGAAACTCAAACCTTGATTAAGACAAAGTTCTAGATGTGAATGCATAATGCATAGTGATATTCATGATTTGAGATATACAAAGATGATGAAGGGAAATGTCCCAAATCTTTGGAAAAAGAAGCACATGGGAGSTAGARAATTAATTGTGTGAAGTTGGACAAAACAAAAAGAAAAAAGAAAATAATAAATAAATAAAGCAATTACGTGGCGAAAATGAGCTGTGAGAAATACAGGCACAGGCCCAGGCCCACAGCCAATTGTAGGTCCAGCCATTCTGGCATAGGTACACGGCCGATTTAACCTTTTTTGAATGATTGCTCAAATTTCATCCTTTAGCCAACCAACAAAATAAAACTACAAACAAAAATTTTGAAATTGGTGTTGAGTTTATTAGATCATTGTCCTCTTCATATGGATCATTCCACATCAATGATATTTATATTTTTTCTAAGTAAACATAGCAATAATGTTACGGTTCAATTTTTTATTATATTGATATTTATAGCCTAATAAATAAAAATGGGTAGAAACTTCGACTTYTTCTTATTAAGATGACCTAACTCTCTCTAATATTCACTATATTTACACATAAAACACTTAATAAAAATTTTCAAATAACACAGATTAAATTGAGAAGCTCGCTCAAACATGATGGGCTAAAATATTCTAAAATCAAAATGATCAAACTAAGCTCGGATCCAATAACATGAAGCTACACAAAATTATAGGGCCAAATCAGTAATTAACATTTTTTATATAGTTGGAAATAAATACTATATGCATGGACAAATTAAAAAACATAGTTTAGAGGACAAGACACCTATTATCACTCTAAATGTGAATAGTTTGATGTTGCGTTACACTAACGGTTGAGTTCAAATAAATAAATAACAAAAACAATGAGTAGACACGTACTTTAATACACAAATTCTCAATCCTTTCTAGAGATTGTGGCATGTAAATTACCTTTTGCTTGAAAAGCCAAACATGGCTACTCTAGAGGCTAAATCGTCAACACCCCATTTGGTATGAATAAACCCTTTACATGTCACATCTCAACATAATCAGCCACACCCTCTCTATTCAAACGTTCACTAAATTCGAGTAGTTAAGTTCAATCAATAATTCTTTAGAACTAAATTTCTTGAACAATACACTCCTTACGTTGCACATATACTTTAATAATCTAAGAATCGAGGTTTTTGTGTATAACCAATGAAGAAAACATCGATCAATCTATCTTTACCATCATGGTTTAAACCAATACTTCCTCCCTCCAAATAACAAGTGACATCTATGTTCAATTTTAGCAAGTCTTTCAGAATCAATTGACAAATTTTTTAATAAAAGTAAAAAATATACTTTTAAGATATGCATTCGTTACTTTTAAATTCTCTTATTTTGTTATTTTTTGGATTGTGCTATCATGTAAAAAATATCACGCCACTGCCCATAAAAAAGTAGATAAATTTTGGTAGCTAAGTTGAGTAACACTCCATTTTCAAATATATTCTTCTTAAGATGTTTGGTTCACATCACAATCATCCTATCATTTGTGAAATGTAGCATAATATAGGCCGTGTTTGATTTCTGAAATTGTGATTTACAAATAAAATATATAGTATAAAAGAATTTTTTTTTTTCCTATAGACTTGAGTGTATATAACTTTCATGATCTATTTACAACTATAATTAACAAAACAAAACCTATGTTGAATATAAGTTTAGTTTCTTCCCCTTGAATTAGACCAATTTATCTGTGAGTGAAACATCCCAATTACAAATATTTTAAACTAAATTACAAACGTGGTACATAGTTTCTTCACGAACAAGATAGAGGAAAATGGAGGAGAAACAGAAAAAGAGTTGTTTTGCTCGGCGATTACGAAAATTATATATTCACTAATATTCAAATACAGGAGAAGAATTTGATTCAATTGGCCACCATTGCTGAGCAGGGAGCGGGCGAAGCCATGGCCTCGTGCGCAGGAACCGCCATATGTTGAGGCGAAAAGAATTGGGCATTTTCCGCCATTGAAATGGTGTTGATTAACCTCAGCAAGATCCTCTCCAGCTCTTCTCCGTCGCTCCATTCGTGAATTTCGGCCTTAATCACAAGAGGATTTTGGCTAATCAACTCCCATATTGGAAAGTCCTTCCTCGGCATCAGAAAATCCCCTTCTCTGAGCTTCAAACTAGGGCAGTAATCGCCGCTTCCATCCCCCAAATAGATGAACTTCTTCTTCTTCTCTTCCGACATTAACGAATCCTGAATCCTCTCCATAACGATGCCCTGTTTTCCGCAAACGAAAATCGCTAAGCCTTCCGACATTAATTAAGATTTCGATTTCGATACCTAAATTGCAAATACACAGTACCTTGCACATGTTTGGAGGGCAGAAATTGTGAGGAGATTCGTGGAAGTGATGGATAGGAGAAATCCTCAGCCTTCCTTGTTCGTCGACGAAGCTTGGATTCGTATGGATTTCCGAGAAGCATTCTCTAATTCCGAGATGATTCAAAATCGTCTCGATGAAAAACAGATTCGCATCACTCACAATCCTCAAATCACACCTGAAAAAACACAAACAGAGAGAGAACGAAAGATTCTCAGCAGGTGAAACTCAATGAGAGAGAGGAAAAAAAAGAGAGAGAGTGAATACGATTATTTACCCTAGGGCATGGGCAGATTTAATGGCGGGAACGACATTGGGAATAATCGGAGCGCGTTTGAGGACCTCGGCGATGTCGTGGAGGGTTCTTCCTTGTGCGTGAAGCTCCATCATCATCCGATCCTGATAAATCACGGCATAAATCACCGATTCGCTCGACTAAAACAAGAACGCCATGGATGAAAAAGAAGAGATAAAGAGAGAGTAGTTACCATGAGAGAGTTCCATGACATTGTAGGGAGGAGACGATTGAACAAATCGGTGGCGCCGAGCTCGTCCACCACCCAATTATCACTGTCCAAATCGATGATCGTCTTGTCGAAATCGAAAACCACGATGATTCCGGCCATTTTTCTGTGAACTCCGGTAGTTTTGAGCGTGAGAAAATGTCTGGAAGTGGAAGTGGAAGTGGTAGTGGACTAATAAATGAGTGAGGGTATTTATAGTTGTTAGGAATGACTGGAGTTGGATTTCATTTTCGTATCCCTAAGAGAAATAGAAAATGCTATTCAAAATCCAAATTMCAAATTTTAAAAGATAAAAATCATATAAAATGAAATAGATAAATATTAATACCATTTTATAAAAATATATATATATATATACTTTTGAGTTGTGGCCACCGTAATGCCAACTCAATCATCATTGAAAATTTGAGTAAGAATTTCCCCAAATATTGTTATATTAAATTTCTTTTAACTTTCAAAATTTCGTTTAAAATTTAAATAAAATATATATTAAAAAACACCTTTTGGTTATTGTAATTTTGTGAAAAGTAATGATTAAATTTCTGAATTTTGGTTTGTAATGTTTTAGTCTACTTTTAAAATTGATAACAATTTAGTCGGTAGACTTTAAGTATCTAACAATTTAGTCCCGATAAAAATCTCATCAAAATTAAGACTCAATTATATCATATAATAATTTAGTTTTTCAAGTTTTAAAAATGTTTGGGAAATTTATATATATAAGAAACTTAGCAAAAATTTATACCATGTGTATAAAATTATTATTATTATTATTATTATTATTAATAATAATGATGATGATAAACAGAGACAAAATCATTACAAAACTTTAAATACTTCCAAAAATTTAAAAACTAAATTATTACTAATTTGAAAGACTAAATCATTACTAATTAAAATCCATACTAAATTTGCCTCAATAAAAACTAAAGGACCAAAAGTATTTTTAAATAAAAAACCTAATAGGTCACCAATGAGTTCAAAGATTAGATAGATAAAAAAAATTGAAAGTTTAAATGCTTATTAGACCCAATATTAAAAGTTAATTAAGGAGTCAGGNACAAAAATGATTTTAAATTAACTTAATAAATTAAAACTTGGAATTCGACAAAAATGACTTTAAATTAACTTAATAAATTAAAACTGGCAAATGAAATTAAAATAAAAAATTTAAGTCCGAATTTTTTTAAATCTAAACCAAAATAATCAATACATTTATTGTAACTAAAAAAACTTAAACTATAATCCAACTTTCCCTCCTCATTTTCTATTTATTTTATTCTTCATTGCCATGCCCATGCTTCCTTATATATTTTTTTTTCCCAAAACAATACTTCAAYTAATAAAAATGTAAAAATAAATAAATAAATAAAGATAGTTAAGAGTACCGGCCTACTTTGTTTGTTATTTTAGTTAAAACATAACCTAGTTATGCGTAAATATCTTCAATCTTAATAATTTATAAATTTGTTTAGAATCGAGTCCACATGAATATTATCAAATTACACAAATATTCATGTAGTTTTAATAAATAAAAAAAATAATTTAAAATAATAATAATAATAAATAAAAAAATAATAAAAAAATTAGTCTTAAAAGTCTATTTCGAAAAATAAATAATGTATCTCTTATATAATTAATTTATTTTACTTTTAATGGTAATATTAAACTCAGGTTTTATCGACTTATATAATTAATTTATTTTATTTTTAATGGTAATATTTAACTCAGTTTTTATCGACTTGGATAAAAATTAACTCGTTGAAAATGTAAACATTCACAACCAAGAATTCAAAAATTGAACAGCAACCAATAAGGGGTGCTATATATATATATTCCTAAACAGTCAGCATATCTAGAAAATGTAAATAAACATTCTTTTTTAGGTTAAATGTTAACCTTTTTATGCCCTTCAACAATTAAGTATTATCTTATTCGATTGTTGCAGGAAATATATAATGGTCCAAAAGAGAGAGATAATTTGTTTTGGTGGTTGGSATGCAATTTTAGGAGTAGTTATGGGATTGATAAACGCCAAAAATTTTGGGTAATAAAACACTATTGGGATGAAGGAATCGAGAGAAAAGGATTATACGAAAAATTTCTAAAATATTTTTAATAGTATTAGAGGCAATGTATTTGTTGGACAGACTATYCAATCCAAAAATAGAAAAAAGTGACAACTTAAAAGGTCCAATGTGATACTAATATGCTCGTATGTGATATAAAAACTTCTTCCAAAAAAAATGTCCATCTATCTAATGGTCAAAATTATCAAAATGCTATAGGATGAAATTAGAAGTAACCATCATTTTGAGAGCTAGGAATTGAATATTCTATAAATTAAGTGAAATATTCTAATTGATCCAACTCACTTTCCTCCTTAAAACCTTAAAATGTCTATTCATAATAACATCATCATCATATTTATGGAACCTTATAGGAGATGGGTTTCATTTCCGTATTGCTAAGAGAAATAGAAAATGCTATTAAAAAATCCAAATTTTAGAAGATAAAAGGATATATATATTAAGACAATTTTATAAAAATATATATACTTCAAGTCGTGGTCACATAATGCCAACTCAATTATCATTGAAATTTTGACAGTAAAAATGTAAAAAAAAGGCGGATTATCAAACATGTCCCAAAAAATTAAACGCGATTCGAAATTCAAATTCCGAATTTGTGAGTAGAGGAGATAGAAAAGTATAAATGAAATAAGTATTAATATTATTTTATTAAAGGAATATATATTTTAAATATGTATAAAAGGCCCGGCCTAGTTTGTTTGTTTTTTTAAATAAAACAACTAAGTTATGGGTAAATATTTTAAATCTTAATAATTTACAGATATGTTTAGAATGACCCACGTGAAAATTATCAAATTATACATATTCATATATTTTTAATACACAAATAAATAATTTTTAAAAAATAATAATAATACATAATAAAAAATTTTAGTCAATGACTAAATGTCTCTTACTAAAAATAAATAATTTATCTACTATATAATTAATTTATTTTATTCTTAATGGTAATATTTAACTCATTTTTTACCACTTGGATAAAGATTAACTCAGTTTAAAAACGTAAACATTCACAATCTCAATTCAAAAATTAAGTAAATTTTTTTTAAAGTTAGATGTTAACATTTTTATGAACCTTCAACAATATTAAGTATTATCTTATTTGATTGTTGCAGGAAATATATAATGGTCCAAAAGAGAGGGATGATTTGTTTTGATCGATCGGCATGCAATTTTAGTAGTAGTTATGGAATTGACAAACACCAAAATTTTGGGTAACAAAAACTCTTGGGATGAAGAATGGGGGAGAAAAGGGCTATGGGAAAAATTCCCAAGAGTGGGACGAAAGATGGGGGAGAAAAGGGGGATTTGTTTTTTAATAATGCTATTTCCGAAAGTAATTACGAAAATATGCCACTTCTCAATGATTTTTTTTTTTAAAAATAAGGCTTCGAAAATCCCGCAAAACAATTTTCGAAATCCCGTCATACATAGCGCTTAGCTGGAAGAGACGACCAGTATTTGTCACTTCACAGGTCGTCTCCCTACCATTTCTAAAACATTATTTTTGGAAATAGTTTGGGAAGTGGCATATTTTATGGGAAAAATTCCCAAAATATGTTTAATAGTAGTAGAGCACTGGTAAAGAGAGGGGTGATTTGTTTGGGTGGGTAGGCATTTAATTTTAGTCGTAGTAGGAAAAATTTTCAAAATATTTTAATAGAAGTAGAGGCATGATCCGGTGCATTTGTTGGACAGACTATCCTATTTGAACATAGAAAAAAAAAGTCGTCTATTGTGATACCAATATGCTCATAATAAAATGTCCATCTATCTCAACCTCCAAAAATTATCAATAGGCTATATGACAAATGATGAAATTAGAAGTCATTTTGAGAGCTAGGAATTTAATATACTATCAATTAAGTGAAATATTCTAATTGATCCAACTCACTTTCATACTTAAATTGTCTACTCATAATAATACCATCATCACATAATTTTTATAAATAAAACATATTAAGAAACAATGCTTTTAAACCGACACACTAACTAGCTAGGAGAAGTAATAATTTATCAAGTACGTGACTACTACTTTCAAGTTCCTTAGAAAAACAAAATTTTTAAAACCAAAAATGAGTTTTTTAGGGTTTGGCATTAATGGAGAATATTCTTCTAGCCAACGTGAACTAATCTGTCTCTAATCAAGAGATCATGGATTCGAATCTCCCGATCCCAATTGTTAAATATTCTTTTAGAAGGAAGGAGTGTCTATAGGTGATTCCTATCTCCTCCTTATTACCTCTTGTTAACGAGGAATCTAACAAAAATTTATAATATAAGTGAACTATTTCTCTTATCTGGATTTTGATATAAAACCTCAATGAATATTAATATGATATAAGAGCCAAAAAAATTTAAACGAGCATATATCCGATCTAAAAGTGAAATTCGACAAGATCGATGAGCCGACTGCTACCAATTTGGTACAGTTCGGAGGCACTTAAGTTAACAACCTCAAGCTGTCTACAAATTCCAGCAAGCTTCCCTCTCATTTGATCAAGTTCTTCATCATCCCTTTGATCACTTTTCAGATTTTTTAAAGTTTTTTCTACTCTAGTTTTTAAATTGGTTCTTCTTTAAAGAGTCAGTTACTTTCTTTTTATTATTATTATTATTATTATTATTATTTTGCAAGTCTCCAACTTTAGGTTCCTGTATTACATTTTTAAAATCTCATGGTTTTCTTCTTTTAGGTTTTATTTCAACCTAAAAGAGAGAGTCTTTTAATCACACATGGATTGCAATCTTCTTGGTTTTACGGCTTATTTCTTATCTTATTATGATTAGCTCCTGAGTTTCAATTGATTTTTGAATAAAAATAAGATTTTTACTAAGAATATTAATTAAGATCAGACTTAGTACTTTGAAATCAGTATCTAAGTTAATTGATTTTTGAATAAAAATAAGATTTTTACTGAGAATATTAATTAAGATCGGACTTAGTACTTTGAGATCAGTGTATAAGTTAATTAAGAAACATAATCGTCCAATTAAAAGGGGAGAGGAGAACAATACCTAACTATTTAGAATCCAGAACACCTAACAAAATAGC